GCAGGAATGGCCTCACAATTGGCCGACTTTTATCAACGAAATTATCTCGTCCTGTCACACAAGCCTTTCCATTTGTGAGAACAACATGGCAATCCTTCGCTTGCTATCGGAGGAAGTGTTCGACTTCTCTCAAGACCAGATGACCTCCGTAAAAGCAAGGAATTTGAAGACTTCCATGACACAGGAATTCTCGTCAATCTTCCAGTTGTGCTCCGAAGTGCTCAATACCGCAAACCAACCTAGCTTGGTTAAAGCTACCCTGGAGACCCTTCTACGCTTTTTGAACTGGATTCCACTGGGATATATCTTTGAAACACCTATCATAAGTACCCTTCTGACACGGTTTTTGGACGTTCCCGAATTTCGCAATGTGACCCTCAAATGTCTTACGGAAATTGGCGGGTTACAGATCGGTAACCCTTATAACTACGATGAGAGGCTGGTACATATGTTTACAGAGACTTTGACTATAGTTTCCAAGATAATCCCACTATCAATGGATTTGAAACAGACATATGCCAAGAGCAACTCGCGAGATCAAGAGTTTGTACTCAACCTTGCGCTCTTCCTTTCCAGTTTCTTCAGCGCTCATCTCAATGTAAGTTTCGGAAATTTCCCGCTCCCAAACGCTGATAGAGCCACTGATATTTATTGCTCTCCTCCCCTTTACCCAGGTTATTGAAAAATTACCAAATCGTGACTATCTCACGCATGCGCACTTTTATCTTATTCGCATTAGTCAAATTGACGACAGAGAAGTTTTCAAGATTTGCCTAGAATACTGGACGCGTCTCGTGCAAGAGCTTTATGAAGAGATGCAGCAGCTCCCAATTACCGATATCAATCCTTTGGTGAGCATGGGCGTCAGTGGCTTATCTAACGGTGGAGCGCCGCATCCCAGCACCTTGGCCAATTACCCCCTCCGCAAACACAAATATGAAGAAGTTTTATCAAGCCTGCGTACAGTCATGATAGAGAAAATGGTACGCCCAGAAGAGGTCCTGATCGTCGAGAACGATGAAGGTGAAATCGTCCGCGAGTTCGTCAAGGAGAGTGATACGATTCAGCTCTACAAGACAATCCGGGAGTGCTTGGTCTACCTTACACATCTCGACGTTGTTGATACGGAGAATATAATGATCGAGAAATTGGCTAAACAAGTCGATGGGTCTGAATGGTCATGGGCCAACTGTAATACCCTTTGCTGGGCTATTGGGTCAATCTCCGGAGCCATGAACGAAGAAACCGAGAAGCGCTTTCTTGTTACGGTTATTAAGGACCTATTAGGTCTCACAGAAATGAAGCGTGGAAAAGATAACAAAGCTGTTGTGGCCAGTAATATCATGTATATTGTGGGGCAGTACCCTCGCTTTTTGAAGGCTCACTGGAAGTTTTTGAAGACAGTGGTCAACAAGCTCTTTGAGTTTATGCATGAGACGCACGAAGGTCGGCTATTCAATCACTTTACCAGAAACCTCTATTCTAACTTCCAATAGGTGTTCAGGATATGGCTTGCGACACCTTCATAAAGATCGCTAATAAATGCAGACGCCATTTTGTTGCCCTTCAGCCTGGGGAGAACGAGCCATTCATTGAGGAAATCGTTAGGAGCATGAGGAAAATTACTTGTGACCTTTCGCCGCAGCAGGTCCATACATTCTACGAAGCATGTGGTTATATGATCTCTGCACAGGGTCAAAAGGGCCTCCAAGACCGGCTGATTGAGAATTTAATGTCATTGCCTAATTCTGCCTGGGATGCTATTATAGGCCAGGCAAATCAGGATCCCTCGATCCTCCAAGATGGAGAGACGATTAAAATCATTGGCAATATCATGAAAACGAACGTCGCTGCCTGTTCGTCAATCGGCACCTACTTTTACTCTCAACTAGGACGCATTTACCATGACATGCTAAACATGTTTCGAGCTTCTAGCCAACTTATTAGCGATGCTGTTGTGCAGGATGGTAAGAATCACGACACTGCTCTCCTTTCATTAATGGAGATATCGCTAATCGTTTGTCTTATAGGAGAAATTGCTACAAAAACACCGAAAGTCCGAGGACTCAGAACGATCAAAAAGGAAATCCTCAAACTTATTGACACTTATGTCCAGAAAGCGGACGATTTAGAAATGGTCAATGCGAACATGGTCCCGCCTCTGCTCGAGGCTGTGCTGGTGGACTACAATCGCAACGTTCCTGATGCACGCGAAGCAGAGGTTCTGAATGTCATGACAACTATCATCCACAAGCTACATGTATGTTTGGCTCTGGCGTGCTTTCTAGACCCTTGCGGATAACTTCTTGGATGCAACAAGAAACTGACGTGCTTCCAGAATTTGATGGAAGACAAGGTTCCCCTCATCATGGAGAGTGTGTTCGAATGCACTCTAGAAATGATTAACAAAGACTTTCACGAATATCCAGAGCACCGGGTCCAATTTTTCAAGCTGCTCCAAGCGATCAACCTATATTGCTTCCCAGCCCTGCTCAAACTTGATGCTACGCAATTCAAGTTCGTAATCGACTCGTGCATGTGGGCCAGCAAACACGACAATCGTGAGGTCGAGAACACGGGTCTTACGATGTGCCTTGAGCTCATGAATAATATGGCCGAGACAGATACTCAAACCTCGAATATCTTCTTCCGCCAATTCTACATTCCAATCCTGCAAGACGTTTTCTTCGTGCTCACCGATAGCGACCATAAAGCCGGTATGTATATACGATCGAAACTTAGATGTGATGGGTTACTAACTATATCACAGGATTCAAGTCTCAGGCGATGCTCCTGTCGCGTATGTTCTACTTCGTCGAAGCTGGAAAGGTGCAAGATCCCATTTACTCCCCGGAACAAGCGCCACTAGGGACTTCGAATAAGGACTTCCTCCAGGAATATGTTGCAAACCTTTTGCAAAACGCATTCAAAAATCTACAGGAGTATGCTCTATCTCACTGGCTGTACAGAATAAACTTATATGTGCTGACTTTGTCACAGAATTCAAATCAAGCAATTTGTCATCGGGCTGTTTGCTTTTAATGATGATTTCAATAAATTCAAAACTCATTTGCGGGACTTTTTGATCTCACTGAAGGAATTCGCTGGGGATAATGCAGAGCTCTACGCAGAGGAGAGAGAGCAGGCACTGCGAGATGCGAAAGCCGCAGAACGGGATCGTGCCATGAAAGTTGGGGGCCTTCTGAAACCATCAGAAATGGACCAAGAGGATGAACTATGACTAGACAGGGAACTACGTTGTGAGGTTGACCCGTTCCTATCCACCGGCGCCGCAGAACACCCGAAAAAGCCGCTGGCTATGTCAGAGGAAGACCGGCTGGACGGCTGGGCCTGTTACGGGCTTTGAACACGGTCAAGATTCGGCCTTCTTGCCAGATCCGATGCATTTTATATTATTTAACCCCCGCATTTTTTCTTCCTCTCTCGGCCATAGGCGATAAACTGCCACTTATTTCCTCACTCCTGTTCTAGTATCTGGCTGTTATATGCAATCAATCTTGGATCTCTAGCCGGCTAGCTGCAGTTCACTTATTCAAGTCGCTCATGGTGAGTGGTTGCCTATGCCATTGCCACTAATATGTCCTTTCAAGTTGTTTGTAAAATCTTTCGCTGCATGTTTTCCTTCAGCGGGTCTTTATGTAGATTCAGTTGCACATCACACGCCTCAAGGTTAGATGCGATGTATCAACCCTAAGGCTCCTTTATTTATTTTCTGCTGCTTAAATACGCAGTAGTATTTAACCCATGACTTAACCCATGACAATCTTGAGAACAAATGAGCGAATGTAGGCGGTGAGCCACCAATCAAGAATTTCTCTAAAGGTTGCGTGGGACCTTACTAAGTTTAATCTGGCAATACAGAATTAAATGCCTTAGCATTAGAGCCAGATCAATCTGCAGTGGCTTGGACTCTTATCGACCGAAGTTCTTCTTGAAGCAATTGTCCTACGCATAGATATTCTTTTTAACCATATGAGTCTTGCCCATGATGTCTAGATCCCGACAAATAGCATCAAGTGGGACATCCCGGGTCGAATCGGTGCCTCAACAACCTAACAATACATCAACAGTTCGAGTTTCAGGAACACTCAGATTAAGAGCAGAAAACGAACCAACGGTCGAGTCTAACACTGAGAACAGAGGTTTGCACCGGCATATACGGTGGAGTGAGGATGTCATAGATAATGAAGGAATGGGGAAAAAGAGCTCCAAAGGTGAGTACCGCTACGCTACAAACGGCGTGACCTTCTGCAGCGTGCTTTCCTTGTCATCCAAGGCTAACGGATATGGCGAATCGTAATGGATGCGTAGTATGCTGCATCTACCATAAAGCTCGACCAGTCGGTGAAAGTAGTTCAGAGTCAGAGTCCTCTGATTCTAATTCATCTGACCCCGACAGCGATAATGAGATATACAATCCCAGGAACATCCTGGACCGTTCGTCGGTGCATCGTAATACCGACAATCACTCGCATGAGCATGAATCCGAACATGACGGGGAAACAGGGCAGCTATCGTGTTGCCCAAATCACGGTCACAGAAAGCTTAAGCGGAGGAGACCAAGCCCTAATGCATACGAGAAGATGCCTAGGACGACAAAAGGGCGCTAGAGGATCCAACTCTTGTGGATATGACAAAGAGTCTGTCTGATTTACAATACTCAGCAAAATTTAACTAGACTAGCTCTCGCATCTTGTCAGTATACGTTGTACAGAGTTAACCTTTGCAGTTGTTCGCAAAAGGGTTGTCATCTCAACTGGTTAACTATGAAAAAGCGATGGGGCTGAGACAAGTGTCGCCGTTCGTGGCGCTCTACTTCAATTAATAGCGAGGAGTCAAGTGATCATTGAGTCCCTAAGAATAATGTGGATTTAGACAGAAGTAGCCTAAACACGGAAAGGGGTATCTATCTCATAGTCTAACAAACTTCGATCCAGGGGTCATGTAGATGCAGATTGTCTCCGAACATGATTAACTGATCACAACATCATACTTTTTCTCCTAGCAGCGGCGCGTGGTACGCGCCTCATTTGCCTAGCATCTATTGCTAGCCCTATGGCTGATGGAGGAGCTTCTGAGGCATGCATGGATGCCTTCGGTTCGCTGATATTCCCAATTGATGTATCATTAGGCCTTTCCAAACATGCTCTAGACCCTGTCATACTTTCTTGCTCGGTACCCGAAACGCTCATCTCGTGTTTTGGGGAATAATGACTCCGCCCAGACGATCTGGGATTTGTGGAGTGCCGTCGGGACAGCCTGCTGGGAACTGCTATTGCTCTAGATATAACCTTCGATAACTCCATCGGCATGTCACTAGGGTCCACAGCAATCGGCGATCCATGCTTCCCTGTGCTTCCCGTTTGTACCTCGGCCATAGGTCGGTCACTTGAAACCTCAACTAGCTCGCGGCCCCCGAATATCGGATAGGAATGGGCCTCGTTTATCTCATTCGTAGGATTGTTGCCAGGCGGTATATCTTCTTTACTTGCAAGTGAGGCCTTCCTTTGTTTCCGAGACATCATGTTCGCTGGTTGCCAAGGAGAATTATCGAAAGAAGTCATTGGAAGTGTCCTAGGGTTTCTGCCTTCCATATCTGAGTCTCGCTTTTTTCTTGCAATGATTTTGCCACTTTTACGCTCGTCAAATTCACTGTTTGAAGTTGTTCGAACAGAACTGGAGCCGGATGCCCTCCTTGGATGATGGTCGCTTCCGACTGCTGCTATGAACTCATCCGTTGGACGTCTCATCTTATCCCTTAGATTAGGTTCTGCGTAGCTTACAACAGATCTCTGGCGCCTCGTGGGTCTAGACGAAGCATTAAGTGAGGGTATGGATGTCTCAAGCTCATGTTGTACTTGAGATACTGCAACATGTGGCGAAGATGAGCGCGATGTGTCTTCAGCCACGTGAGTGTGAATTTGAATCTCTTCTTGCCTAGCCTTATCAGAATCATTGCAATGAGACCTCTCGTTTGGGGCTAATTGTTGACCGTGGATATCCTCCAAACGGGCTGGATCTATCGGCTTATTCTCGTCGGACGTATTGTTCATTCTTGTCGAGGTCTTACAATCTTGCCCATGGGCTTCAGGAGCTTGGGGCTCGATTGAAGATAGGTTTGTGCTCTCTATATTTATGTTAGCTGCACTGTTCATAGAAGGGCGATCAATCGCAACATACTCGGCTCGAGAACTTTTCGCTTAGGTCGGCTATCACTTTTAGAGCATCCCCTCTGGGAGTTCTGCCTCTCAACTGGCGACTGATCGTTGTACGTCGACAGTAATTGGTCCCGCGTCAACTGTGGCAACTGTGTAGGTCGAGTGAATTGGAAATCGTCCTCATCTGGGGGTGCTAATGCAAAATCGCCATCGTCACTACCAGAGAATTTACGTTTGGAACCTGGATTTAGCAAGAAACTTGACTCCCTTCGTGCAGGAAACTCTCCAAGGTTCATATCGAGGATATCTTCGCGTATTTTGCCGGTCCCAGCCTTCCTCTTTTTCCTGGTTTCAAGATTTGGGGGAAGAAGAGCCTCATTAGGGCCTAGGGAGCTGTCCAACTCTTGCGTATCCGCAACTGCTTCAGACAATGTCGAGTATGGATCATCGTCCATGCTGTCTATTTGTGATATCGAAGGTCCCCCTTGACCCGAAGATTGCGGGGCATTCATGTTGTTGTTCATCAGTTCCTGCATTTCCTGTGGCCTGCTGACTTTCAGTAAAAGCTCTTGATGGTCCGCGAAAAATGCCATGTCTCACTTACTCTAATGTCTTTCGTGGATAATATTTGTCTTCCAGTATAACCGGAAGCCTACCGTCTTGCTCGAGTGCGGAATAAGCTTCAAGGTCAGCGATGTTATGTCTCGAATCCAAGCCTGATCGCTCCTGATGTGCAACTTCTGTTGTCCCGTCGACTGGCTTGTTGAGCCTGCGTGGCAATGCACCTAAATCAGCTACTAGGCCTTCTAGCTCCATCAATTTATTGTCAAGTTTCGCCTTGATATCGTAGACTCCATCCTGGAACAACTTGGCCGCTTCGAATCTCTCTATTTCTTGGCTAAGATTTATGACTCGCTCTCTGAGGGAAACATTTTCTGAAAGGAGATGCGAAACTTCTGACTCAAGGCTGCGAATTCGAAGGGACTGTATCGAATTCACTCGGGCTATTTCGCGATTCTGGCGCACGAATCGCCGTTTCACTAGGGTATTGGAGAGGTTAACGCCCGGTTGTTTACTAGAGACTAGTGGCCTAAGAGTAATTCATATAACTCACAAATTTCAATGGATTCAGTCGAGGTTGTTGATTCGTTTAAGCGAGCCATGCTTCATAAGCCAATGCAGACTGCACTGTCTGCTTTGCCTTCCTTTCGCTGGCCAATCCAGTTGTGGGGGATGCGATGGAGCTTTGAAACGAGATTAGACTATGAAGAATTGAGAAGCCCCCGTTCTGGTCGTTGGATGGTTGGTGGAGAGTTTCCTTGTGGGTAGGTTACTTGAAAGAGCATGTAAACAGAGTGCTACTAAGTTGTTGATATTTGCCCCGACTCGGATTAGCGGGTAAAGTGGGTTAACTGCTTAGGAAGGCATCGACGGACTATACAGTGGGATGCCAAAAGTTTGAAACTATCCGCTTGACCGCCTAACATACCGCTATATTTCAACCCTATCAAATTCAGTGCTTGAGCCTACATACCTCTATCTACACATTAAATTATAGCTTCTAGAGAGGATATAGATATAAGTTATTGAGTTAGATAGCTGGTATAGTAATTATTAAGACCCAGGGAGGGAGTTTGCGAGATTTCTGCCACACAGAATAGTAAAATTAGGAAAGCGGTTAAACTGGGCAATAAATGGATGGTTTCAAACTTTTGACATCCCACTGTAGTTACCACTTACGCAGTACATACTCCGTAGTCCTCCACTTGTCCGACAATCTACCGTTGTGGAAGTTATCAACCGATTTGAATCCAGAGATAAGAAAATATCTTCCAGGTGCTTTGTTCGACTAACTCGGATACCGTTATTATATGACCTACATGTCGCGACCTACATCGATGCTTCCGTCAGTGTCTTCTACAGGTTCATCTTTTCGTCAGCCAAGTACTCACCATGCTGCTCCCCAGCAGCAATCGTCGGCCCTGGCAGCCCGGATTGCGTCGAAGAAGGCTGAGCTAGATAATCTGAAGCAACTTCGCGAAATGAGTGGTGCACTAGCGATGCAAATGCAAGTGTTAGAAGAGAAGATAGGCACGCTTAAGGATGGCACAGAAGGTTCGTTAACCTCGGCTTGCACATGCTTCCAGTTTACCCTCGGAGGCTGCTCTTGCGATTCCTCGAAGGAAATAAGATTTAGTGAATTGGTTGACTACGCACGCTTCATGCTAATGCTTGCTGTCTTACCGGGTTTAGCTGTCGCCTGCGTTCTTGCTAACTGGGACAATGTTCTGCGGTCTATTAGCATGGCCTCTAGTAAGTCCGCCACCTTATTCTTATTTGTACTAGCACTGCTGGAATCTTTACCACTGGTTGTCATTGCTGACCCCTTGGTTCCCTGAGCAGCAGAAGCTGTAATTGTTCAAAGACCGATAGCGCAAAGTACCAACATTTTGTCTGAGGATGATAAAACAGTTGATTCTCGCATACCTGCGACTCTAGTCCGAATCCCAGCAGAAGCAGTAACGGCGAGAGATTAATGCACGGCTTCTGTTAAACCCGCAGTGTTCATTATAAGCTGCGCCTCTTCTGGTATCGCTGTGCAAATTTATGAACACCATGACACAAGGCTAATAAAACTGATAGTAAGCGCTCATTGTATAACCTCAATACAGTGTTGGGCTCACTATAGTGTGACTCTAGCAACTGGGGCTCACCATATACAACTATTGTTATCATTGTTTTGGAACACCGACATGTACGGATACGTAATTGTATATTTCACTCTGGCTGAAATAGACAACAAGCCCGTTTCGTGGATAAGTGAGTTGTTTCCTGTTTACCTGATGATATACACCAGGACGGAGTATGCTATTCTTATATAACCCAGCCAGCATACACACCATTATCAGTATCTATAACGAGAAATCTCGATATGCATTTCCCGTGACATGTCTATACTAGAAAAGGGATACTAGAGAGTAAGAACTTATAAAGTAAGTAACTGGTCAAAGTAGCAGGTTAAAAAAGCTCTGTCAATATAAGTTACATTTCATGGCCTCTGGCAAGTGCCTAAAACTACTGCCTGTTAAAGATTGTACTATGCCTTCAGTTACTAGTTACAATAATTCTTTGAGATAGTATTGTTGGGAAGGAAAGAGAGAAGGAGCCATAAAAGGGGCGGAATCCATCCATTTATGAATAGTGAATTAAACATGGGATCATATAGGTCATCGGCAGGCATACAATTCACTTCCAGAACTCATTCTTTGGGTATACTGCATTATACAGAAGGATCCTAAACAGGTATATCGGTATAAATCACAGATTCTTCAATCTAGCATGCCAAGGTTGTTCATGTTTCAATTCTGCTTTCCGGCTCAGCAAAGAAGCTTCCTCTGTTAAAATTCTTTCTTTTTTTTCTAGATATACTCATGCGTTCCTACTGGGAATAGGAATAATCAGATCTACATCCCGCCCAATGTTCTCCTGAGTGAGGCAGATACACAAGATTCACATGTCCTTTCGACAATCTTATGGCCGTTATGTCATCCCTATGGTGTATCATCATTTAACTCTCCCAGGACTCCTTCTTAGAGTCGTATATAAGTTATAAAGTATGCTTTTACCTTAGTGGTTATTTGTCTTGAAATGTATAGTATATCTTTACATGCACTGAAACAGCAACTAAATATCCAAGGAGGGTACAGAATAATTCCTCATAATGCTTTGCACGTCCTGTATCATGAATGGAGTAGATATGTAGGTCATAACCCATTAAAAAATGAACCACACCTATCCCCAAAGGAGGTGAAAGGGATAGAAGCCTGGGGAGAAAAGAAAAGAAAAAATACAGAGAATCCAACTTAGTTTCAAACTAGTCCTGGCTACGGTTCAATCCACTCTATGGCATATATCTCGCTGGTTTTGAATAATGGAGGAGTGGCTGTAGCCGCTGTACTGGCTAGTTAGACTCTGTTACAATATGCAGCCGCATGACAGTGTACTATTCTATAGCCTAGAAAATAATCAGATACCACAAATAAAGTGGCAAAGGATATATAAACACCTGGCAGTGTAACTCTGATACAAGGTGGCATGGTAACGGAACATCTACCCTTGCTTAATATGAGTACAACTACAACAATTTTATCTTATACTTCTGAGGAACATCTCACCTCACAGGGTATCTGTTACTGGACTCTATGGAAAGGGTAATATTAACAAACCAGTATCATCGTGGCATATTATGGGTTGGGGGCTTGGTGGGGGGAGTGGGCTGGTACAAGTATTGCTGAAGTCACAACATACACAATACACTGAGAAGTTATAATTATACTACGCACCTAATATATTTATCCACTTTGCTTACGTGGCTTCGTGATTTATTTACCTAGTAATGGCAAGAAGAATTCTTGGGCTGCTTTTTTGCAATCGGAGTAAATGTAATATGAACTTCTGAAAATTCAACTTGCCCTAAGTCAAGCTGAAATAACCTACCTTACTGTATGGATAAGCGACTGGGACGATACATTTAGGTATCTGTCTAATTCTAACAGTACATCCACTTTCTTGACCATACGTACCCAGTTTCGGGGCCGCTAGTAGCATAAATCCACTTTGTAGTTCATACACAGAACACAGTGCTACCTGATCACCGTGGACCCATCAACCACTCCCCACAATCCAATCCAGAACGAGTGATCGTACTTAAGTTCTGTTATTTGTATGAAGGGCAGCTGGAAAGGAGGGCCTGTGTATTTCTCTACCCTTAAATTAGTAGGTAGAATGTCGCTCCAACCACTGATCTTTATATAATATTCTTACTGATCTTATGTTGGTAACTACCCAGTCAGATTACGGAGTAGACTTTTCTTCAATGAACAGCTGCACAAGGTAGTAGTGAGTGATACCACTAGATTTTTCCCCACACCACTGCTGCACTCTTGATCTTTGAATACCTTATGTACATCAAAATATATCCTGAAAAAGAGAAATATCTACAATATATTGTGGTTGGGCTCTTCCTTGCTGCCTAGGCATGCACCTTATATACTGGACACGTACTAGATGTAGATATACCTGTACTACCACTAGGATCATTTTAGCTCACCCCTAATCCACCGGGCGTAGAGCCGAGAGGTATGGCTCGATAGATAATATCAAGCACCTAATAATTCGTATAATAATGGGCTATATGGCTATAACAGTCATACTCTGATGACAGTTTGTGCTAAATATATATTAATAGAGATTTTCTGTGCTAAGTTGTCCTCTTGTTCATTTTCCTACTGAATTTCCCAAGTTACACTAGCTAGCACCATTTTCTTTTCTATTCCTCTGTTTTAATCTGAGTTGTCCATTCACTGATTCCTACTAACTGTAAATACTCATCTTGTATGGTCTCAGTAGGATCAATCAACGCCCCACAACACCCAAAGATGAAACCGGTCTTTGAGTGATTCAGAATGACTGCAGAGTCTTAAACCCACCCCCCAAAAGTCTCACCCCTACCGTTGTGTTCGAACCTAAAGACTACTGTTACTCTCCTTTCCAAGATCGGTCTTCGATTAGTAGCTGAGTGTCCATCTTTAGTCACCTCGCGCTCCCCCTCATCAGATTGTTCTATAATCGCTCGTCATCTCGATTCTCCAAGGTCATATAGACCAGAATGGCCACAGGATGATCTCTCGACTTTTGTCTAGTTTGTGACCGACAGACCTTGGGAGGGCCCTACTGTTCTCAATCCTGTAGGCTCGCCGAGCTAGATCTCACGGAGGAGGCTGTGGTGATAGGTACTCCTGTGTCGGTCTACCTACAAAGGATTCAGACGACTGCAACGGAAATGAAAGCCAAGTACCCTCGAGTTAGCACTGTTCAGGGTCATATCGGGGACTCAATTCTACCATCTAATAATACCTCTATATCATCACGGATGATCTCATCGTCGTCTTCTCAAACCTCTCTTTCCTCACTTAAAAGCAATTTATCACGAGACCCTACGATACCTGACCGAGTTCAAAATCAATTGCGTGACCATGTAAGCTGTTTTGACCAGGTTCGCGACGTAAAGAGACGACTAGCCTTATGAAACTTAATGATGACTACAATGCTCGTGAATTTGTACACCCCAATCTATTTCGAGACCTTGCTGGCGAATAGATAAAGTATAATTCTAACATTTCTATGTGCCTTTGTGTATGCGTGTTTGCTATTTTGTTTTCTTTCCTGTTTAATCACAGATACCTAACTGTGAAGCGAGATTAGCCAAAGGACATGGTCCGCAGAATCTGCATCACCCTTCATTGTTGAATAAGCTACCTTGCTCTCCTAGCCTTTGGAATAGCCACAGCACTAACCTATGTCATACTTGGAATCGCCCTTCCTATCTTTGATTGCTAGGCATATCGTAGGAATGTAAAGTATGATGATTCAGTAGCAGTTGAATAAAAGCTACAAGACTGATTGCAGGCCCTCGACCATATTACAATGAAAATGTGTGGTGTCCCTGATCTTCATGTGAGATAACGGGGAGAAGTAGAACCGCGTCTAATTTTAGGAATAGTAAGATATTAATGGTGGGTCATATTATGTTCAAAAAAGGGATGAACAGGCGGAATATGAGACGAAAGGAAGGAGCATATATATCAGTATAAAACATCCGTGTAGCAAGAACCATCCTCATAGAGCATGCTGCAATGAAGACACTGAACCAAGAACATCTTCAAGCAATTTATTGTCCCTGGGAACAAATTTGACCTTATACTTTTTCGGGATTGCAACTAGGCTTGTAGGATCTGAATTGCCATGAACAGGGTGCCAGTCGATCTCGTCAGATGGTTCAATCCTAAAGCTGTTAATGGTGCGCATAAAGATCAAATACAGTTCGCGGTTAGCAAGGAGTGAGCCTGCACACATGCGGTAGCCTAGCCCGTAAGTGAATAAAGGTGCATCGGGCTGTTCAAACCATCTTTCTGGCCTAAACTCCTCAGGGTCGTCCCAGGTTTCGGAATCTGTGCAAGGTACAGTGTTACTTAAGTGAGGCCTAAATAGGCAACAAAAGGTCAAGGCAAGGGAATAATGAAAAATCACCTACCCATATTACAAGCCCACGAATTTAGAAAGAAGACTGTTCCCTTTGGAATTATATTGCCGTCGTAGGTAATATCTCTGATCGATGTTCGAGGGAGAGCCAGACGAAGGACTGTAAAGTACCTATACAATATTTAGATAACCCACTCAATTCGGGCACAGGGAATGACGAACCTTAGACACTCTCTTACCAGTGCAGCAACATAGGCGCATTTCTGGTCATCTGCAGCATCGCACATGGGTTGGCTAGGACCATACATATTCGAAATCGCTTCCGCGGCTTTGTCCTGAATGTCTGGGCGCTTGGCAAGGAGACCAATACTCCAAGCCACAAGCGTAGTGACAGTATCAAGACCTCCTGAGAGCATAGTCAAGCTGATTGATGTAAGCTCTTCTGAGTTCAACTTCGCTTCTTGATCAAGGATGACATTGGCTTGGATACAAGGTT